AACATATTTACTATAGAACATTTGCTAAATGAATACTCAATATTTATATCATTACAATAATATAAAACATAGTATACCATTTTATTTTTAGATATGTCTTTTCATTTTTCACCTTATTTTGATTTATTTTGTCGAGGTTTATATGATTCAGTTAGAAATTCATTTAATGTCTTGACAATTGATGAGGATTTTAGTAAAAAATCATCGGAAAAATCTTCAATTAAACAACATCCACATCAACCAAAACCTAAACGAAGTTCATCATCATCAGATACAAAACGTGTTAAATCAAATTTAGCACTTTTATGTTTATTTAATGGTGGAATACTTCTTTGTGGCATGCTTTGTTTTAATTATCTTTTTTTACCTGTATTTCGTCGACTATTTAATACATTAGCCGGATTAGATTCATCATCATCATCTCGACCATTATTAATTATACAACATATATTAACTTATACATTTAATTTTTTATGGCTTATTCCAGCATTTATTATATCAAAATTGGTTAACTCATATTGGTTTCGTGATATAGCTGATGTTGTCTATAAAAAACTAACTAAACATAAGCAAACATTACCAGCATTATCGTTTTCACGTGCAATTAGTGATATAACATTTAGTATAATCATGCAGATTTTTTTTGTTATTCAATCAACACTTATATTACTTATACCTGTACCTATACTTAATACAATATTTGGTCATATGTGTCTTTGTTTACTTTATTCATTTTATGCGTTTGAATATGCATGGATATATGCAAATTTAAATGTTAAACAACGTGTTGAACGTATTGAAACATATTGGCCATATTTTCTTGGTTTTGGCTTTCCGTTAACAATGCTATCAACCCAATTTTTTAAATCGATTATTATAAATGAATGTATTTTTTCAATTTTATTTCCGTTTGCAATTGTTGCAGCAACATCAGTTAATTTTCAAGAACGTGTTAAATTAGAACAAACACAAACAAATATTATATCATTAAATATATTTGCTGGTTGTATTCGTTTAACAAGTCGTCTATTTGATATGCTCAAAAAGAAACGTCCTTCAACTACAGTAACAACAATCCAATGATAATAAAGATTCTAATCGTTATATTTTTTTCATTGTCACCGGTGAATTCTTTTTTTTTTGTTTGCATATATTAGCATCGAACTTGTAATATGCTTCATGCGCATTTTTCTTATTATATATGTTTTGAGAATGTTAGAAGATGAAAATATGGAATAAGCTTTGTACATTTATTTCTTCTATAGGTGGATTGTTGTTGACAAACAGAAAACACATTTGATCATGTAAACTTTTTAATTTATATATATAAAAGTTGAGGCGACAATTGAAGTTAATAGACATAGAGTTTTCGCATGATAATAAAACATTTACATCTGTTTTATATGGTGATTAATACAATACCTTCTGTTTAATTATATTGTTCAAGAATATTTTTGAAAGAATGTGATATAGCAGAAAAATTCTTTGAAATGATACCTATTATCGTGGTAAGAAGTTCTGCTACTGAGTAAAAAAAGTACATCAAAGTCAATTTTTTTGCTCAATATATTGATTACAAGTTGAGCTCGGCAAATCTTGATCACAACTACACACTCGAAATAGATCGATCTTAATGCAACAGATTTACGATACACGCACTGATTTTTTTCCGTAATTTTGATTCGCTATCATCCATTCTCTTATTAATAAATGAAGTTTCACACGATTATGCTGCATCACAGATAGGATACTTGAATGCGCTATAGCTCTGTAATGTGGAGAAGCTTCCATTTTCTTGGACCACTTCAATATGAATCTTCTCTCTGGCGATGGTTCAAATCGTGAAATTTTCAGAATGAGGTTCATTAGATCTGATCTCGTAGTAGAGAAAATTTCAAGAAGAATGATTAGAACTAGCCAAAGCTATGGACTCTCTTCGATGAGTTCCATATACTGTGATGTCGAAACTACTCCAATATTAATTCAAAACCCAGGCAAACTAAACCATTTGGCATGAACTTTTCCATCATCAGCGTGTTGTTGGAAATAATAACAAAATATCATCCATGAAAAAAGAACATATCTCTGTTTTTATTAGTTCGCGACTATAAATTCTTAATTCGTTGATGATGCCTTGATAGATAGTTGGAGAAAACGATAAACTTTCAATGAAACATCCTGTGACAGAACCTCTTGTTTTCGAATTTCCGACTGTCATATACAGTCGAACCTAATAATGAGACGAGAAGCAGAACATAACGTAAATGAACTAGTAACTCAACGTAATGTACCATTTGTACATAGTGCCAATCCGCTGGTTGAATTATATGCTAAAACAGTGTGTAGGTATGGATTTGAAGTGGATGTAGGCACAGGTATGAGTCTTTCATTCACTCACACCCATACCCCACACCCACATCCCACATAACCCACTCCCATATACAACACACTCACATCTCAACCAGCCACTCGTCCCACGTTCACATCTCATATTCTAACACACGTATATGTAGAGAAGGAGTAAGCGAGAAGTGAGTGAAGATACTATTTGTCTTCAATTCCTTTTAAAACCCAATCTATTCAAAGCACCTACCAATAATGTATGTTTTCGGTACAAGAACAACAGTAATAGTAGCTTTTTGGTAGCAGTGAATTTGTTTTTGTAACTAGAAAATACAAAGTCGCATATGAAGATGATGGTAAGTCAGAGAATTATTTGCTTTCAACTGTAATTCAAATTTTTAATGAACTTATTTTTTTCGTCTGTTCGTCTCAAGTATGTTTATACGAAAGATGTAAGTATATAAGCAATGGCTGATTTGAATTTGATTCTACGTAATCAGAATTTTTAATCAAAAGAGAAAACAGCTCTCGAAAAATATTACCATGGAAGACTCATCGGCAGTCAAAGTAACCATCGTTAATAAAAATCAACAATGGAACAGTCACCGTTCTTATCTGAAAGATGTAGGTCTACCTGATTTAGGTATCATACTGTTGTTTTGCTGTTCTTTTCGTAGATAAAAGAAACCATTCATGTCACTCATGTCACACGAGTGAAATCAACTGAGCCAGAGGTGATAAAGAAGACAAAACTTATCGGCTTGAATGTAGTGACTGCTAAAACGCCTTCGCAAATACTTTCGCCTGAAAAGATACACAATAGAGCAGAACCAGCAGAAGATCATTTATACATGGACAATAACTAGTGGAAAAAATATTACCTGTGTGACTAGTTCGTACGTTGTTAGTGCCCAATTTTATTTGGTTGGAACACAGCAAATAGTCAGCGCTGATACTTATATCGTGACAACAACAACAAGTGCCGGAGCAACCAGCACATATTCGGGATATTTTTGACTGAGATGTACTTCATATTCATTGCTCGTGCTTGTCTTTTATTCATTATAACACAAGAAAACAATGAACCATTCACACTGAATAGAGCGACAAACTCGCTTCCATTTAAAATAAAAATTGATCTGACTTCAGTTTTGTCTATTTATATATGTAGTTGATTCTAATCATAGCGTAATATCTGTTCTTGCTAAATAGAAGAATGAACAAATCCACGGCTCACTTTTCTTCAATATAATGAATATACTGATTAATATCTTTCAAATGTTGTGTAATATACAATTTACATATTGTCAAGTGTCTCGAATTGGCTCGATACGAAATAGAGCTTACGTTGTCATTAGTTTATGGAACCGATATTGCTCTATCTTTCTAGCACAGAACACAGAAAAAAAAAATCATTTCTGATTAGATATCTTGTGAGTTTTCAATTCTAATACGGTCTTTCTATGCAAGACCAAGGTCACTAATTATTTTTTTGCTTATCAAATAGACGATTATCGTTGTGCTTAATCCTTATCGACATCAGATCAGTTGTGACAAATCATGGATTGACAAAGCTCCTTTTATATATGGATATTTTATACATAGATCATATATTTAATATGAAAGTTAAGAAAAACTAGTTTTATTATCTACGGAAACTTTTAGTCAACATAAAGTGATAATTGTACGATCACGTACTTTTATGTTACTTATCAGTTTATTGGACAAAACTGACGTTAATATAACTTGGAAAATCAGAAAAAAAAATCGTATGTCTTTATTTTTAGGCAAATGAACAACATACGTTATATTTTGTGTATCTATATGCAAAAACATTTGATCAACATTTTATGAATATTCATTCTTTTCTACGAATACTCTGAATGTGAAGCATAGTGTTGATCATGATTTATGAATATTTTTACTGTTTCTTTCAGTTATATAAATAGAATGCAGATTATTGATGAATGATAAAACAGAATAGAAAACTTTGTAAGAATAAAACACAATGAGTTTTTTTTTCAAAAAAAGACTTTTACTGGATTTTTGGTTTTTTCCTGCCTGAAAAAGCAATTTACAAAAGCTAAAAATCACTTCTCCCTGGTCAGTAGATCAAGTTCTATCAAACCGCGTATAGAACAAAAGGAAAGAAGTTTTACTTGAATTTTGCGTTGCCTGCATCTAACTTTTTGACTTGTAACTAGGTTTTTGTTACTAATGTTTTAATCAATTACTGACTGAAGTACTGGAACCTTTGAGTCGAGTAACCGTTCTCGTAACTAAGTACAGGTGAGAAGGATACGAAAACTGATACTCATATGCTACTCTATTACTGATGATATCAGAACTTTAAGGACGACATCGTATTAATAAATAAATGACCATTGAAATAATTGGTATTCGTAGAAAATTGTGATAAATTTAGAGAAAAGTATATACATTTAGATGTTGTCTCTCTCTTGAAATTATTGTATGCGAGAGTATCCAAATTTCAAGTAATGACACTAAACTTAGTATTGATTTTGGTAAACTGATATTTTCTGTATAAATGGATTATCTAGAGTATAATCATATCGAATGTTACTATATCTTCTTTAATAAAATTTATTTATGAATACAAACCAAATTTATTGTAAAAATAAAATATTCTGTCACATTTATGGTTTTACAAAAACATTTTTTATTCGTCGCGGTCGATTCTTATTTCTCGTTGTGTCCCATCGACGATTATGTGGTTCAGCTGGATCAGTTTCTTCTGGGTCGTCATATACAGAAGTAATATGTATTTCTCCTCGTCGTTGATGAGTGCCAGTAGCAATTCGTTTAAAAGGATTTCGTTCTATTTTTTCACCTGTATATCCTAAACCGGTTTTATCTTTTATCGATAACTTTCCACCATCAGCTGACAATGCTTCGCTTATACCTATAACAGATGAACCAAGACCTTGACCATCACGCCATCCAGCTCGTTCTAATAAACGTCGTCCGATTCCCTATAGTTTCATGAAAAAAAAGAAAAAACAAAACTTTTACGAAAAAATAAAGATTAAAAAGTCATTACCTTCGTATGTTTTTCAAATGCACCAATTCGTTTATGTTCGGGATCAGTTTCATTCGATATACGACCTTGACGAAGATCTTCTTCTCGACGTATACTTTGTAATTCATTTCCATCACGATCAGCTGATCCTATTGAATTAAAAATGTTGTCATTAAATTAAATCATCTTATTATTATATACCTGCACTTTCATGATACATTCGCATATCAATATCTATGTCATCAGCCATATCCAAATTATCAAAATCTTGACCTTCATGTTCTTTCCAAAAGACATCATCTGTATAAAATACTAAACCACTACCACCTTTTTCCCATTTTAACTCAATTTTATGTTCAAAAAAATATGGTGATGTTCGATCTTGTTTTGTAACATCATCATATTGTGCTTCATGTCGATCCCATTCTTCAAGTTCATCTTCTTCTTCATCAAGTTGTTTATCTTCATTTGATATTAATATTTCATCGTTTTTGCGTTCATCATCTTCCTAAAAGATTATCGACTATGAAATTAACAAAAGAAAATTATTGAAAAATAGAGTTTACCTTTTGTTTATTAATCTTATCGAGTATTGTTTTATCTTGTTCAGAAAGAATTTCATGACCTTGACCAGTTTTTAAATCCATTTCATCCATATCTTCTTGTTCTTCTTCATCAATTTGATCAATAATGGTACCATAATCAAAACCAACACAACCATATTTTCGTTTTGATCGACATTTAGGAAAAACAAGTCCCAATTTTTCTATAGACAAATAAAAGATTCAAAATGAATGCAATTAAAATTAATACTTACTAATAATAGTCGATGGTAATCGACATGCATTTATTTCGTTAAGAAAGTATGAAGTTGGCGTTCCAACATTACCTTGTGGATAAATATGTTTTGGAGGTTTCAATTCAATTAAATTATTTGTTATTGCTGGATCTATATGCAGAAAAGCAAGCAATGTAAAAAGAAACAATTAGCACAATCTCTGCAAGATTAAAATGTGAAACATGATGTAACTACTCTTGCTAATCATAGAAAGAATATTTTATTCTATATATTTGATCTTTTTTTACCAGAAAATGAATATGTCTGACAAAAATTGGCAAATATCAGTTACAGAAAAACCACTTTTATCGATCTGAACGAAACAGTCTTAATTTTGAATATGTGACCTTATTCTTTTGCTAAATATTCATAAATGTTCATATAATCCATCACGTATTCTACTAGGTCTGAACTTTTTCTGATCTCTTCATTACTTTTGTCTAGAATATTATTTTCTCAAGCTCAACTTGTGGTAGAAAATGTATCGATTTGGGTTGCTCAAGCGACACAAAACTCGGTAATTTTTATTTTTGCTTGTTGAGCAAAACTAAAGTAGATCAACTCTCTTACCATAACACTTACCATTATCCTCATTTGTAACTTTACTAATAAGACAAATCGTTGATAAATAATTGCCTTTTAAATCAATCCAATGTTTTCGATGATAAAGACGTATAAATTCATTTAAACGTTTATTATAAACTTGTATAAAACACATTTGTGATACACTAACAGCATTGGTTGATGATGTTGGCATAGGCCGATGACGAAAATGAAAACATCGAAAAGCTTGTGTTTCAACAAATAATGAAAAAAAATTTCGTAAATCAGCTGAACGAAATGATTTAGGTATAGCTGAGACAAGTACAGTTGTAAATGGTTCATCAGATATTGTACTAGTAGTTACTATAGATGACATAAATATCTGAAAAAAGGCAAATCATTCCCATATTTTATTATTCTTTGTTTTCAACAAATAATTCAAAGAAGAAAAAAAAAACTAAAGAAAATTATTTTGAAGCATAAATGACAAGATAAATATCAAATAAAAAAAAAACAAAAAAGCATGACAATAAATGAAAAAAAAAATTATTTATAAATAAACACAACATGTAGATATTCATTCACATAGCTTCGAATTCATCAATACGTCGTTTAACTAAAAGAGAGATTTAAAAAAAGAAAAAAAGATTAAATTAATACTAACATACAATTCGAATTTACCCGTTCCTTGACGAATGTTTTTTAATGTTTGATATTTATTAATACCTTTGTCAATAATATTTTCCTGATATATTTTATCTTCTTGTGTCTCTGCTTTTCTTTGTCGTCGTCGAAGATCTTTTCGTTCTTCCTATATTATAAACAAAAATCATAAATTACACAAAAGAAATCTGTCCAATGTTTTCCCAACATTTCATAATAATCATATATATACATATTGATCAGCAAAGCTAATGTGAATAAATTTCCCATAAATATAAGAATAAACCTTCATAAGTGTATATGTGTGCAAGTAGGTGTTTATTTCCAAGATCAACAAGCAAGATCGCACGGAAAAAATAGGAACTAATAAACCACGAAAAAAAAAGAAAAAAAAAAAAGATGAAATAAAAGAAACGATAAACATAATGAAATTTTTAGTTTTTTTTTTAACTACATACACACACAAGCACACTTTAATAAGAGAGTAAAGAAAAAAAGAAGGGAGATTTTTGTTTTTTGTTGTTTTTCTTCTTCTTCTTCTTCTTCTTTTGGAATAGATACAAGACAACTTAAAGTTAAACAAATGATTCTCAATGAGAGAAAGAAATCGAATGAGATATTGTCGATCAATTAAATCAAACGGTAGAAACGACTTGATTTTCTTTTTCTTTTTGGAATGATGATCATTATAATAATCAATAATATGATTGTTCGATTTCGCTGCTTAAAGTTTTAGAAGAACAAAAGACAAAAAAAAAAAGAAAAAAAGAAAAAAAATGACAGCAGCCCACACGCGCGTGTATTCACACGAAACAAAAAAAAAAGAAAAAAAGAAAGAAACGCACTTTATGTAATAATCATTGGAACGATAAAAAAGAAAGAAAGGAATGATAAAGAGAATTTTCCATGTTAATATGTTTTCTTTTTTTACATAGACTCAAATTCGTCGATACGTTTTTTTGTATTGCCTTGTCGAATCATTTTTAATGTTTTGTATTTGTCTCGACCTGAGGCAACATTTTGTTGATGTAAACGATCATTGTCAGTAACCTTGTTGGAATTTTGAACAGAACCCAATTCGTCTTTGAGAGCCTGAAGCGAGGAATAGAGCAATGTGCGTGAATATGTGAAAAATCAAATAGTGAAGAAAAAAAAAGAATCAAGAAGATTTTTAATTATTTTTATAATATAAATCCCAATTAATAACAAATAGGTTACCTCAAGTTTTCGTTTCATATTATGATCTTTTGTTGTAGCAGTTAAACGATTTTCTTCATGACGTGAAGCATATTCATTTGTACGAAGTTCAACACCTTAAAAAGAAAATATAATAAGAAACAAAAAAAAAAGATGTTTTAGAATTACCTCGTCCATTACGAGTTGTACTATTTTCGTCTTCGTCACTTTCTTCATCTTCCATAGGATTTCCATATTCGCCAGGATGTTCCGTATAATGATGATTATTAGGTTGTTGTTGAGCTTGAAGTACCTAAATATATAATATAAATAAAAAATTGTAATTGAAAAAAAATTTTCTAAATAGATTATTTGTCTGAGCATTTTCCCGTTTCCCAGTATTTTTTAAAAGTTATAGTGCCTACCCAAGGACGAGAATGTCCTCGTGTAAAATGACGATGCTAGAAGAAGAAAGAAGACCCTTTATGTATGCATATAAATGTATATAGATTTGTGCAGAAGAATTCATGTTTTGTGTTGTTGTTGTTTTTTTTATTAAAAAGAAAAGTATGAATTACCGATTTCTGGAATAAGATGAAAGACTTTTTTTTTTATTGAAAATAAAATAGATAAAAAATAAAACGAAAAAAAACATACTCTCATCTTAGCTTCACGTAATTGTTCTTCAAGTTCTCGTGCTTCATTCTCTTTTTGTTGAGCTTCAAGAGCTTTTTGTTCAGCTAATCGACGAGCTTGTTCAATTTCTTGTACCTAAAAAGAAATTTTTTTGTGAAATAATTTATCGTTTAAATAATAAAATAAAAATAAAAATAAAAGCAGGCAAAGAAAAAACTACAATATATTTTATCATTTATCTCTGAAAATTTTATCATGTCACTAATTTTGTATATACATGCATTGTTTATATGTTCTTATTATTGCATGCTTTCTATATGATGATTATATATACCCAACAAATAGATTTGTTTAAATGATACATATATTGAATAATTTATAAATGAAAATAATAATAGGATACTAACAAGATTTATATTTTCAAAATCAAGGACTAATTGTAAAAGAAGATTAACAAATAGATAATGAGGAAAACTTAGAAGCTGTCAAATCCTTGGTCAATTTCTTTTTTTTTCGTTTACAAATACATTAAGATCTTAGTAGAATGATCAAGATTAATAAGTATTTAAAAATATTTTAATCATATTTAGAGCTTGCTGGATTGGTCTCAGATTTCATGAGGCTCTAGAAAATAGTCAATGAAAAATATCTCACATTTCCAAAGCAATTATTAGATTTAGACTAAAATATTTCATTGAAATAAGAAAGAAACTTAGATTCTAAGTCTAACAATTCAGAACTTCAATGAACACTAACCATGTTAGGTCAATATATAAACAAGGACTATCATTAGAATCTCTTCGTGCACTATGAACATGTAACACAAAAGTGAGAAGATAATTCAAAAACTAGAATAAATTTAGATCATGTCATTTCTCATAAAATTTCATTTGTAGCTGAAAAAACGAAAACCTTTCAATAATGAATGCTAAATATATGTAGAATGCTTCTAATCCTTAGTAAAAAAAAAAAATATCATCCCAAGTAACCTATACATTATATTTGTTATTCAGATTTCAATATAAATTTAACATACAATTTTATCCTTTTCTTCTTGTTCAAATCGAACACGTTCCATCATTCGTTCATGTTCTCTTTCGGCTTCTTCTCGTTCTTGTTTTAACCGTAATTGAGCTTCTTCAGCTTGTTTTCGTTTTTCTTCTAATTCTTTTGTTATTCGACTTTGATCTTCCAAAGCTATAAAACAAAAAACAAATATCAATTCGAAACTTATTCAAATAAATTGAAAAAGACCAATACGCAAATCATTACACACAAAAATATATATGTAGATACATTAACAGAAAAACTAATGATCGAAAAAATTAAGCAATTTTATTATTTTATTTATTTTTTTTTTGATATAGCATCTCACATTCTGTCTTACTAGACTATAAATACTCCTAATGGATTGTTCTAAAATGAATAAAACGTTAAGATAAATATTAAATTAATATTCACCTCGTCGAGCTTCGGCTGCACTTCGTTCAAGATCTTCAACTTTTCTTCTCATTGCTTCACGTTCTTGTTCAGCCTGTTTACGACGTTCAATTTCAGCTTGAATTCGTTCTCTGAATAAAACAGTAAAAATAATATTATAGACAAAAAAAAATTTTTTTTTTTTTAAATCGAAAAAAATCAATACCGTTCTTGAAGACGTGCTAATTTTTCTTCTTGAGCTTGAGCTTTCATTTGTTGTACTTCAATTGAATCCGTTTTTCGACGACGCATATATAATTCATGATTACCCATACAAAGTGATAATATTCGTCGATTTATACGAAGTCTTGGTGCATAAAAAATAAAATCTGGTGATTTTTTTTCCATTGGTTTAATAACAAATTTTTTATCATTGAACGATATATTTCGTATTTCACTCCATGGAAAACCAATTTTAGGTGTTAACCTTAATAAATTAAAAAACGAAAAAGAAACATGTATAGATATTTGAAAAAAAAAAAATTTTTTTTTTTTGATTTTTACTTGTCTTGTTTATCATATATATTAAGACCGAGTGCATCGACACCAAGAAAAAGTTCAGTACCTTTTTTATTACGTATATCAAAATAATTAACACCATACATTTCAAGATCTTGAGCAATTTTAAGATATTCAAGCATTGCTTCTTCTCTTTAAAAACAAAAAAAAAGAATCAATTATTGATATTGCATTAAAATATAGGTGAAATGAAGTAGTTGATTTAGATTTTCTCTTCTCTCGGAGAGTCATTCCGATCTTTGAAGAACGCCGTTCTCACATTGGGTCAAACCATTCATTACTGACATGAATTCGTAAAATTAAATACAGATATCTCGATATAATGACTTTTCCGAGAGTGAGTTTTCTGTGTTACATATATGTTAGAGTTACTGTGGGTACTTAGACAAAAAAGTCAGACTTAGTGAGCTTTGTTCAGAGGAGTTATCACAAGGTAAAACTAACGTTAAAAAAGGGTATGGAGTTTCACTTCATACTTTTTAGTTTGAAAACCTTTGAATTAAGGCCGTACTTTAAGTTCAAAACCAATTCCGATCAGTACAAAGTCTTCTTCAGAATTTCTAGATAATGTTAAGACAAAAATTTTTATTTCAGAACTTGAGAGAATCTCTATAAAACCAGTTTTTAAGAGCAAATGTTTTTTGACTTCAATTTCAATCTTGCTGTAAACTTCACCGGAGATGCAGTTCGTATTGTCGAGTCTACCCTGAAGTTTTCAATTTTTTTTCCCGTATGATTAGAGTATAATTCGCTAATTACTTTGTCATTTTTAGTTAGCTGAAAGAGCTAACATTTTTACATACATTTATACTAAAAGAACATATTTAGAAGAATAATCCTCTTAAAGAATCAAGATCAAATGAAAAATGAGTATGTCCGACTTGTTCCTGAAAGGATTCATAT